TCCCGGATGACGGAAGTTAACACCCGGCTTTGCAGACCCTCTTTGCGATTATGTAGGCACAACCACGGATATCTTGTACACCCACACGCTACTCCTCGTTGTCGTCTATACGTTATTGTGCGTGCTAAAGTGCAGTAGCGTGGGAACAAAGAGCGCGCGTGGCCAATCGCGTATAGAATAAAATTCCTTTGAAAAGATACTGAGAGAGAGAGATGGAGAGAGAGAGAGAGAGAGATGGAGATAGATAGATAGAGAAAAAGAGAAATGCGCGTCCTCCTGACAGGTCTACATCGTTAAGTCGTTGGTAGTCATTTAAAACTGATGCTATAGATTTTCATATGAAAGAAAACGTGCGAATGCATAAACATCATCGTTTTGAAAATCTTTGCAAACATTTTTATGACTCGCGTCTGTGACTTTTTGTCTTGTTTCTAAAAGATTGCTAAATGAGGTTTAAAAAGTCGCGGATGCATAATTTTTCTCATAAATCTTAAATGTCGTGATCTTTAGTGAAAAAAAAAAAAAATAATTTTTTAAATAAATAAATATTTCGAAATACATCTCGTTTTACGTTAGATCTATTGGTTTATTATAATTAAGCAAACAATTTTACGATACTTCGTGTATTTATCGTCTGAAAATGTATAATTTTTCTCGTAAATCTTAAATGTCGTGATCTTTAATGAAAAAATAATAATAATCTTTTAAATAAATAAATATTTCGAAATACATCTCGTTTTACATTAGATCTGTTGGTTTATTATAATTAAGCAAATAAATTTTACGATGCTTCGTATATTTATCGTCTGAAGAAAACGAGCGTTTTTATGCGAATCTTTCAAGAATATCCTCGTCGCATTGAACGATCTTTCTCGAACTTCTGTCCTTCGAAAGGTATGATAAAATCGAGGATAAAGTCTCATCGTGGTGAGGAAAGTGGTATAGGCTGTGTAACACACGGGATTTCCTTGCGGTTTGCGCGTACAGGATGCGCTTAAATTCTTTTGTCTTAACGTGTGTCTCACTACACGCGCGCGCGCGCGTGTATAGTTTTACGTTATTTTATAAATCTTCCCTCTTGGTCTCTTAATTACGATCGCAACGTAAATCACTTTGCAGCGTTCTAAGACCGCGGATGTACAGTCGGCTTTTTTGTTGGCTCCTTTTTATTTATGCGCGGACTTGTGCGGCGAATAATAATAGAGAACGCGCGGAATCAAATTGCGAGCAAGCAGATTACCTTTAATATCGGATATTTTCTTGCAATATATTGTATATGTACGAAGCGACTGATACTTTTTCTTAATGACTACCGTCTATCCGCCGCGCGATGAAAATCTCGGAAATTAATTTTCCGTCTTGACGTTGATGCACCTTTACTTTAACCTTCGTTTCGCGCGACGACAACGACGGCGACAAGCGAGACGAATTGTAGCGAGTCAAATTAGAAAACAGCGTCATTTATAAGTAGCAAAAGATCAAAGTGTCACCAGTAAAGTGTGTTGCGCGATTCTTATTAAATATGTAAAAAAGTTAATTGTACGTAATTAATTATACGTAATACGCGGTGCGTAAACACGTGAGATAAGTGGGTACCAAATGAGATTTACGAACACGCCTATTTTTCTGTTTCGGAAATGTCAAGCAATTAGAAAGTCAACGACGATCGGAAAATTTGGAAAACGTTGATAAGATTTCCGTGACATTATCAAAATTATATGAAGCGGGAAGTCGACGATCTGTGTGCGCGCAAGTTGATTGGAATTACGATTACTTTCTCTGGCGTCAATTTCCTTCTCATCGATCTTTCTGATCATGTAACAAGCCGCCGCCGCCGCCGCCGCCGCCTCCTCCTGAGAGAAAGATGTCCTTTCGGGTCGAATCACACGTGGGAGATTGCGCGTGGGTTTTCCAGCCACGAGGCATGTCACTCGGTATTACTGGGAACGAGCGATGAACCAGGACGGCGTTGGCATATTGTGTATTGGTCCTCACTGCGGCGTCGTATCTCAAGATTGCAAATACATACGTAGTTTCGCAATGTATCGTGAAATAATTTTGGGCAAAATATATGTCGCACAAACTCTGGACTTTTAACAAGATACGAGTGTGTATTTTTTGTATGCACTTTTTATTTTCAAGATACAATGTATATTTTATTTTCGTTCGAGTCCTTTTTTTCTAACTCGAATGTAAAAAAAAAAAAAAAAAAACAGACAACAATAATTCGTGTTACACGAGTTTTATTCCCCAAATTTCATTGCTCTAGCGACAATCTCTGTACGATGGCGATATTTTTTTTTTTTCATTGTTAATTATTAACTCTAGAATTCACTAGATAAAACGTTCGCGTTATCTCCTGGGATACCTTTTGTGTTATGCTGCGTGCACGTGCATTTTAACGAGGATACACACCGCAAAGCCGACGCGAGGAGCAAATAACGATCACGTCTCGCGTGACAACGAAATGAAATTATAATCGTGGGCGTGTGCGGAAAGCGTAGGGCGATATAGAGATATAAATATGTAAACGATATTCATATATTCAGAACGCTGATGTTAAATATAATAAATATTGAACCACGCACACACACACACTTCTTCGTATATTTAACTAATTTGCAGTATCTTAAAATAAAAAGACTATGATATCGAAAATTCTGCTTGTACGTGAAAGAGAGAAATCTTTTATTTTAGTCAAACTTAATGTAATTTGCCAATAAGCGCGTTCAAAAAAAAAAAAAAAATCTTCAACTCGTTGCGCACACGCGCGAGAAGAGATGCTCCAGATATACTTATAACGCTATTTAAATTGTGCACGATGACATTTTAACGATTTTCAGCGAAACGATATTTTGTCGTGCGATGCCGCGATCTGTGTTTTAACAATTCAATTATTCAGCGCTTGTTGTGTTCGCGGTTCGAGTTAATAAAATCTATTTGAAAACGAATTAATTCTCTCACTTGACTACACAACCGTCTCATTATTAAATAAGATGATAACAATCCCGCTGATCGATCGCATCTTTCTAAGATGCTTTAGTGACATACGTTCCCAATACCTATATAGATAAAGTTAAATTTGATCCCAACGAGGAGGATCTTGTAAATGTTTTTGATCATTTTCAATCGCGCTTTGCATATCACAATATAGTATATATCTATAATAGTTTGTGTATTTATGATTTTTACCGCGGGCGCGCAATTAAAACTGTTGTAAAAATGTACAAATAATTGTTCGCGAAAGCCGACACGGAATTCCGTCTGTGTCATTAAGTCGTCTGTTGATTTCACCTGCGATGTTGATGGTTAATCGTCGACGCGAAAAACAGCGAGTAATTAATCGAATCGTAAAACACACTCTGTTTCGCCTACGCACAAAATATCATATTACGCATCCGAACTTCTCCGAACGGAGTCACGCAAGGATCGGCACTCTGATAAGATAAGATATTATCGGGACAAGATAAACATTTCGAAGTGTCGAAAAAACATAGAATCAGAAAGGGAAGAGACATTCTAACTGTGGTTGACTAAGGGCAAGATTGCGCTCGCGTCCGATGTGTTGTTGCCATCTAACAGAACGATTGATAACGAATGATAACTCGACTTAATTATAAACACACGCACGCGTTTTGTGATTTCGACGAAAACTTTATATATCATTCTTGACCTACCTCATTTGTTTTTTACGTTTGCTCAAATTGTAAGGTACATATTATTACGAAACGTGCAAACATTTTTTATCTCACGGCGTATCGGCGAAACTGCAGAGTTTAATCAGGTGCGTGCAATTGATTTTTGAGTGATTCACATGGAATCGTTCTGTTGCCAGTCCTTATAAAACGGCGCGCCGTCGTTTCTATCGCTTATAGATTATCGGCTAACGTGCTTTGAATGAATTTTCTATCACAATATTCACAACATCTTCTTCGGCGCGAGACAACGTTTGTTCCCGTTTTCGCTGTTTTTCAGTTTTTCTTTACCGCAATTTTTCTCGCGCTGTTGAGATGTAGTTACAGAGATCAATAATGCCTAAGGTTTACTTATAGACAATTTTAAACATCACAGACTGACAACAGAAAAAATAAATGCGCGTTATATTTTGATGATTGTTTTTAAAAACCAATACGCTGAAAGATTTTAAATTTTATCTAGCATCTAGATGAACATGTTACAAAGAGAGGAGAAAAAGAGAAACTGCAAGATATACATTATAAAAAATATTTTTATGTCGTAAAAAATTTATACTTGACACTCCTTTTTTGACTTAGTTTTAAAGTGTGTATATATTCAAGTAGAAAAAAAAAGAAATTAAAAATAAGCTACGATTCAGTTTAGCATTACTTCGCCATCTACTGGCGTGCTCTGAACTTTTTATTGATAGCAGTCGTAAACGAGCAGAACTCTGCACGATTTTATAAACGTGTTTGATTTTTTCTAGAACATTTTTGTTACACCACATATATAATATTTGTGTATAATTTTGTGTAATATTCCTATTAAATCTTTGTAAAATTAATTGTACTTTGTAAATCGAAGTTGTCTTACACATATTCAACAGACTTCATAATTAATAATCAAATGTAAAAATGGACGCCAAAATCGGTGATTGTTTAGCTCATTTTTTGGTCCCGCGACTTTGAGATTAAATTGTATGTCAAACGATATCTTATGATGAAACAACAATCACACAAAATTTTCAAGTTGAGGCTATTACTAGTTTACAAGTTTAATGAACGATCAAAGTAGTCAAAATTCAATAAAGCTTCACCCCATATGTTTTGAAGCACGAAGTTTTATATATCTGTCCGATATAATTACAATTTTGTATCTGGAACTTTTGCTGGTAAAAGATTTGAAGTCAAATTATCAAAAATTCAAAATGGCCGAATTAATATGGCAAATTACATATGTAAAAAATGTTCTAATTTCTATAAAACATATATAGGTTTGAGATTCGATAAAAACAAAAACAAACTCAAACAGATGCAAATAAGTCCACGGAAACCTCGCTGAAGTTTATTTAGCTCTAGTTTCAATGCTACGGGTCCGCAATCAATACCATTTTCTCTATTAATTTTCTCATAGTCTAGCACACAAAGTTCAAGCTCAAAATTTGTCTTCACCAAAATCAGTAATTCTTGGTCTAATTTATCAGCCTGTTCTAATCTGTAATACATCATCTCTATTATTAACAAAATATGTTGCGCTTATTTTACTCTCATCAAAAAAATAAATACCTTTTAGTCATATTGCTTATTTGTTCTTCTAAGAGTAATTTCTCCTTGACCGATTCTCTTAGCACTGCAATAGTTTCTTTTGCCATGTTTAATTCCTTTTCGAGATCGTCAGCCCTTGCGGCTCTTTCCACTATCAACTTTCTCTCCTCCTATAGTACTCTTTCTGACGTGTCTAGCTTAAGTTTCATATTCTGTAATGCAACTGTACTTGCAAGACACTTTTTTCATTTGAAAAGATTTCTTCCATTTGTCTGCGTATGTTGTGCAGCTGTTGCACCGTTGCTTCTTGATGAGTTAATCTAGTCTTAAGTGATATGACCTACAAAAAAATACATCATTCAATGTAAATTCACATAAAATTTTATATAAATAAAACAAATTTTCACACATTTGCTCTGTACTGCAAGATCTATTTATTTGCATTTGGATCTTACTTCTATTATGTCATCTTACTTCTTCTTTTAGATGTCGCCATTCCCATGAACTACCTGAAGCAGATTCAGACTGCGTTTTATCAAGTGTAGGTGTATCAGAATCATCTAATGTTGAACGTTTTGGAGAAATAATGCTGTCATTGCTTTCATTGAACTTTGTAGGTATATAACCAGTTTCTGATAATTGCATTGGTACTTCAGTACTTTTACGGTAAGATTCTACTCCGGAACGTAAATCTTCTGTCATATTAATGACGCTTGTTGGTTCTTTGTCAGGCATCTTCAGGCGCAAACTTATATTTACCCACGCGCAATATAATGTGATTACAAATATAAGAGCTTAAAAACAAACATAAAATTTGTTTACACTTTTCATTGATTATTTATTACTCTTATTCTTATCTGTTTTATCGGTTTTACTTTTTAATGTTTATTTCCTATTCCTTGACGTCGCAACTTGTCACGATTAGCGAGCCATCAATACCAAAACACCATATCTTGACCACAGAGAAGATTGAGAGCGGCCAGAGTCATATAAAAAATTGTAATAGTTTTTCAAAATTAAAAATCATGAAAATTCTCACTGCAAAAGAGAACAACAAATAAATAATATATTTAGATATTTGTGTATGTTTACCTTGCGCGTGATGACGTGATTGCGCTGTAATTCACCTTCGATCTGAATTCTTTCACTTCTCGCCACCAGTAATGCCGCTTTTTTTTCTGCGTGCAACACCGCGCGCGGTCACAACGCGGAATAGAACCGCACGCTGTGGACATAGCAAAGAATAGAACCATGTCCACGTTTGGACATAGCGTACGCATCGACGAGTTGCTCGTGGACATGGCTATGTAGTTGCGAATATACACCACTTGTGGACATAACGCTAGCTTACAGGACGGAAAAGCTATTACAATTTTTCATATGACCCTGGCCGCTCTCAATCTTCTCTGTGGTCAAGATATGGTGTTTTGGTATTAATGGCTCGCTAATCGTGACAAGTTGCGACGTCAAGGAATAGGAAATAAACATTAAAAAGTAAAACCGATAAAACAGATAAAAATAAGAGTAATAAATAATCAATGAAAAGTGTAAACAAATTTTATGTTTGTTTTTAAGCTCTTATATTTGTAATCACATTATATTGCGCGTGGATAAATATAAGTTTGTGCCTGAAGATGTCTGACGAAGATCCAACAAGCGTCATTAATATGATAGAAGATTTACGTTCCGGAGTAGGATCTTACCGTAAAAGTACTGGAGTTCCAGTGCGATTATCAGGAACTGGTTATATACCTACGAAGTTCAATGAAAGCAATGACAGCATTATTTCTCCAAAACGTCCAAGACTAGATGATTCTGATACACCTACACTTAATAAAACGCAGTCTGAATCTGCTCCAGGTAGTCCATGGGAATGGCGACGTCTAAAAGGAGAGGTAAGATGATGTAATAGAAGTAAGATCCAAATGCAAACAAGTAGATCTTGCAGTACAGAACAAATGTGTGAAAATTTGTTTTATTTATATAAAATTTTATGTGAATTTACATTGAATGATGTATTTTTTTGTAGGTCATATCACTTAAGACTAGATTAACTCATCAAGAAGCAACGGTGCAACAGCTGCACAACATACGCAGACAAATGGAAGAAATCTTTTCAAATGAAAAAGGTGTCTTGCAAGTACAGTTGCAAGAGAATAAACAAACCATTCAACAGTTAGAAGTCAGACTTGATGTTGCAAGACGAACTGTCCAGGATTTAAAAGAGGCACAGGTTACTGCTGAGAAAGAATGGTTCCAGGTAATTAATTTGCATATATTTTTATAGTGTGTTATCTTATCGAAATTAATTTTCATTATTTATCTCATTTTTTAAGGAAAGAAATAATTTAGAAAAAAAGATAGCAACACTGATGGACGAAAATGCAAAATTGTCAGAGAATCTCAGGAATAGCTCTGTAAAAGAAACTTCTCCTGTTCCTAAAGATCCTTCTACTGATCCAAATGAATTACAATTGAAATTGGAAATGATGGAGACTAAAACAGCAAAGTTGGAAGAGAGACTGAAGGACTATTTCAAAGTGCAGCAGGATTACGAATTGCAGAACGTAGAATTACAGAATATGAAACATAAGCTAGACAAGCTTGAGTCAGAAAGAGCACTATGGGAGGAGGGAAAGTTGATGGTGGGAAGAGCTGCAAGAGCGAACGATCTCGAAAAGGAATTAAACATGGCTAAAAAAACTATTGCAGTGCTAAGAGAATCGGTCAAGGAGAAATTACTCTTAGAAGAACAAATGAGCAATATGACTAAAAGGTATTTATTTTTTTGATGAGATTGAAATAAGCGCAACATATTTTGTTAATAATAGAGATGATGTATTACAGACTAGAACATACTGAAAAAGTAGAACAACAAGTAGCGATGTTGGAGGCGAAACAATCCGAGCTTATGCTTCGTTTGCAAGAATATGAGACAATTGGTATTATTGGCGGACCCACAGCATTGAAGCGAGAGTTGAATAGACTTCAGCAAGCTGAGCTGGACTTGAAATCGGAAGAAGGTCAGCTCAGATCGAGATTGGACGCAGCTCTACGAGAATCGCAGAATCTATCAAAGAATTACGAGGATGCAAAGAGATTGGCTTCCGATGTAACATCATCAAAGGAAAGATTGAACAAGCTTGTAAGCAGACTTCAGAAGAAGATGATTCTTGTTACGAGGGAAAGAGACAGTTACAGACAGCAATTGGATCTATACGAAAGAGAGATAACAGTAGACGGCAACAACGCGATAAACGAAAGAATACCTGCTCTAGAACGCGCTATAGATGGATACAGGTAATAGTGTATTTTGTCACGTCTTTAAGCAAATTTATTTCATTAAAAAATAAAATGATTAAATTATCTTAGAGAGCTAATCAGCAAATTGGAAGCGGATCTTCAAGCAGCCGATGCTGATACTCAGAGGAATGAGAACAATAAGTTAAGGGAGCAGATTGAACAATTGAAAGGCGAGCTCGAACATCGAGCATTAAAAGGTGATTTCAACTGCAACGCACGGGTGTTACATCTTGTGATGAATCCCACAGCAATAGCAGAAAAACAAGCTGAGGAAAAACAATTGGCATTACTGCGAGAAGTGGAAGAACTCAGAGCGAAGATGACGTCGGGAAATTACGGCGCAACCACGTCATCGTTACACGCGCAAGGTAAACATACACACAAGTATCTAAATATATTATTTACTTGTTTTTCTTTTTTTGCAGTGAGAATTTTCATGATTTTTAATTTTGTCCGATATAGAAATCACGGAGTTGAAGCAATCGCACGAGTTAAAGATAACGCGTTTAAAGGAGGCTTTCAAAGCGTCGTCGCAAGAATACAGACAAGCGTGTTATCAGTTGTTTGGCTGGAGGGTCGATCGAACGAAGGAAGGTTGCTACAAGCTGTCTAGCCAATATGCGGAATCGCCAAATGATTTTCTTTTCTTTCATGTTGGAGAGGCTGTGGATTTGTTAGAAACCACTTTTTCCGCGACTCTGGGCAATTTGATCGAGCAATACTTGGAGAAACAGCACAGTGTTCCCATGTTTCTCAATGCCGTACAGTACGAGCTTTTCAGTCAACAAACTGTAACAAATGTTATAACATAATATTCTACTTTCAAATCTCTGGTATTGTTATTTGTAAGTTCTACCGAAGTTCAAATATACAATATACAATTTTTGATTTTTCATATTTTTTCATATTTGAACCAATAAACTATCTTTTTGCGTATGTAAAAACTTGCGTATGTGTTGCTACTAACAAGTATGTGTCAATAAAATATAGACACAACCTACATAAATCTATTCTATATGTCTATCTTTACTACATATTCAAGATGCACAACATTGTTTTTATATAAAATAAAACATATATTTCCATGGATACGTATGAGCGTGTCGTGTCAAATCTCGTGCATGTGCAGTTTATTTTCAACCACGTTAATATCAAAAGTGTCTACAGAGAGAGTTGTATGCGTTTGTGTGCGTGGTACACACAGTAACGCAACTCTGTCAGCACGCAACCATTTTCAACCAATTTACCTATGTATCTTAAAAGAAATATATATAAATATATCTATGATAGAATTCTAGTTTTCTTCTTAATCTTGTTGTTTTATTTGTGCGGCAGATATATTTTATCTAGACAATAACATTAAGTAGAATTTTATTAGCGGTTTACAAATATAAGAATCCATGAGAAATATCTTTAAAGAAATGCAGAAGAGGAATATACATGTGAGAGCGTTAAATATTAGATATATAAAATAAATCAACTTATTACTATCTTACTTTATTATATAACTATGTATATATATATAGATACTTCATATATAAAATATTGTACATTTTATTACACATGTAAATATTTAAAATTATTTGTAGGTTGTCAATAATATAAATAATATATGTAGAAAGGGCCGATACGGAGTAAAATACTAGGTGTTGATGTATAAATGATAATCTTTACGTATTTCACGGAGTATAAATCAAACAATTATATTGTTGAATAATATAAATTCTATATATACATGTATAAATTGTGGAATATCATGTGTTTAAAAATGTCAAAATCTGCTGTTTTTCTGCTAGATCTCTTCTCAAGATAATTGCACTAATTTTTATATTAAGTAAAAAAATAACGTTGCCAACAGCGATAAAAAAAGTACAAATTAAAAATAGAATAAACAAATGTAATTAAATATGGAATATGCAGTGATGGATAAGATAATATATAATATATATATAGAAATATGCATATATAATATCATTTATATAATCTTTATAAACTGTGTTGGCAAAATACATTTGAAAATCACACAGTTTCTATAATGAATGCGTAGTCTTACCTTGACTTTTACATTATAATTTTCCATTATAAATCCGCAATATTTTTCTGAAAAAAATATCTTTTTTTCATATCGTTATTTAAAAAATACTTTCTGATATCACGTAAATTCGCGGTATGCGAAGGCAGTGCTAATAAAAAAAAAAAAAAAATTGAAACAAGTTAGTAGTGTAGTTGTTTTATGTGCGTATTTAATTAAGATTTAGTAGATATCTTAACTTTATACTTGATTGATAAAATAGAAGAAAAGAGCTTGTTGTAACCACAGAAGTGTTATAAACTATAACATCAATAAATACACAAGTTTTATCAGAAATGTCTTGAAATCGCGTGCACATAATATAGTTTTATTTCTAACGTCGTATCTTTGGTCGCACGAGAGACGAAACTCATTAACACCATTACAAATCTGTTAAAATTACATAATAAACAAAATAAGCAACAAAAATATCGGCTGTAATATAAAAAATTAAATGCAAAAAATTGCACAATTAAAAAAAAATCTAAAAATTATACGCATCACACACATACATATTCTTTTAAGTTTTTTTTTTTTAAATCATATGTTTTGAAGACTTTGAGTATGTTTATGTATATTTTTGTTCTTTTTTGTTTGTGTGTAATAAGAATTTCAAGAGAACACAACACTTTTATTGAATAAATACTAAATAAAATTCTTTAATTATCAATAAAAAAGACTAATTTTTTAGATTTTAAATTTATTTTTTTCTTTAGAATATGCAAAAATCTACATTCTTAATCCAGTCTTTTTTGTCTTGTATATTTTCATTGTCTAAATTGTCTTAATTTTAATATTTTGTGTAAAGGATATTTTAGGAAACAGGTTTTTTGGTCCAACTTTAGAAACATTCCATTAACTAAGAAATCCTCTTAAGTAAGAAATAAGTTCGTAGGTTTGATTTGCACAGAAATTTTTGACTCAATTTTCCAAACACATTTCAAATTCAAACATGAACTTATTTGATTAAAAATAAACGTCATAGTTTCCTACAGTTAGACTCTCAAACATCTCATTTAAACAAAAAAGCTACTTACTTTAGGGTAGTTCAATGTGGGTCTCTACTCATCATCAGCGACATTTGTGTGTGTGTGTGTGTGTATGTTCAGAACATATACTTATATAACAAGTTATAAATACAAATTTCCAAAGCGAAATTTTCAATTATATATATATTGAACTCATGTGTTGAATACGAATGTGTTGAACAATTTAGAACTTGTTAATATGCTAATATGCCAGCAAATGTTGTATATATGTGTGTATGTGTGTGTAGTTGTATAATTCTTATTATATATTTCAGAAAAATAGTGTTTAACAGATACTGGTCGATTATGGCCATAATTCATAGCCATAAGCACATTCTTTATGATTGCGAACTATATTTTTCCCGGCCTTGTAATATATTATCAAAACACATATAATACAACTACGATAGCAAACCGCCACTGGCATTAGCGCATAATTAACAGGTGTTTCAATATTTGCGATCCTGTGAGCCCAAGTATGTAGCATTTTGTGTAAAAACGCAATAAATTATCATACAAACATCGTGTATTATGTGTCACGTTTCGATGGTGGTATTAAATGTTCCGGCAGCTCGGATGGAAGGTCGTAGCCTTCGAGCTTAACATTAATTAAATGCATGGCCAAAGCGAATTCGTCCGCGTCTAGGAATCCATCTTTATTAATATCCGAAAGTTTCCAAATCTTTCCAAGCACGCTGTTTGGCAATTTGGACTTGACCATTTCCGATTTGGCCGCTACAAAGTTACGCAAAAATATTGAAGAGATACAGAGACAAAATGGAAAATCTTTTCATATATTCTCCAAAAGATTATATAAAAATATATAAAGATTATACAAAGAGTATATATAAAAGAAAAGGATTACATATATGAAAAAATTTATTAGCGTCACACCTGCTCCTGTAATTTTTCCATCTTGCGGTCCGAGTGATTCAAAGATGCTGTCGTACTTGTACCTTTCCTTATTGACTATCCATTCTGGCTCGCCTGCACCTGCATCAATTCCCTCTCCTCTTTTGTATCCGAATGGACTAACCTGATCTTCAACACCTTCAAACGCACCACCTGTCAAAAATCATATATATAGTTCACATGTGTATACATTTTATATTAAAAGTCTGTATATAAATAACATACACTGACATGAATCATACCTTTAATAAGTGGTTCCGAAACCGTGGTGACTTCTTCATGCGGTATCATAGCCATAAGCTTCGCAATGTCTTCAGCGAGCATTTTATCTACTACTTCTAACAATTTGGGTTTTAAGGGATTAAATTTGCTAAAATCGTGATGCGCTAGACATTCTTGCATTTTCTTCAAATCGGGAAAATCTCCTGGAGAAATCTGTTGCTCTCTTTGAATTTGATCGTAAATCTGGCCCAAGTTTTTTATCAGGTCCTTCTTCTTAGAATCTTTACCAAACATACTTGGCATGTCCTTTCGTAAGGCGCTTATTATGTACGCATGCACCTATGATTAGTAAGAACAAAGTTTTTTGTATATAAATTTTTAGAGTTAAATTAAAAACAACTTCATAAATTACATACTTTTGCCAAGCGAGCTCGTTTAATTAAATCATTAAGTTTTCTTAATGCAGCATTTTTTGGGAGTGACTGCATGTCTTTGAACAAGTCTTGTTCTTCATCTTCGAATAATCTAAAAGATTTACATGAATGTACACAAATATAGAAACAAATAATATGCAAAAAAGAACATTGAAATGGCAGTTGAAGCAAACATAGTTGTTGTTTATAAAAACCTAAATTGAAGATCGAAACGTTTATACATTTATACATTTACCTATGCGTTTTAAATAAACAACATCTCACACCTTTACACTACAACGACTGTGTTTGCTTCAACTGTCATTTCAACGTTCTTGTTTGAAAATATTTGGAGCTAATCATCTTTCTTTAAAATTTAAAAAATATGCAGATATATATATATATAACATATAAAATGAGCATTCACCTTCTATTAACATCATATCTAAGTGGCTGATCCCAAAATGAGCCAATATACACTCTAGCTACTTCAGGAGTCTGTAACACTTTCCCTAAGGACCACATTAACGCACCATATACTCTCATGAGTTGCTGATGATCAATCATATCAGCTTTATTGAGAACAATTCTAATTTTATCATCATGTCCACGTAATGCTTCAATAGATCTACGAAACTCGTCTGATATATCAAGCTTGTGAGCGTCAAACAATAATATAATTCTATCTACACGTTCGGCAAACCATTCTAGAACACCGGTAAAATCATATCCTCTGTCAACCTAAAAATAACACTTTGTATTTTATACACTCATCATTTTTTATACTCTTAAAATATATTTAAAATAAACATTTATTATAAAATATTTGTTTTTTTTTCAGCTGTAAAACTAAATAATAACTTTATGTACAAAAGCAACACTTACTCGTTGTTTCTCACCAGATAATATACCGGGTGTATCAACTATAGATATGCCTTTTAAAACAGGTGACGATACTGTTGAGCACTGAAATCTATTCAAAAATGCGTTGCCGAATTTCGATAGTGGTCTGAACTGCTTGTTTGGATCTACAACCAAGGCATTTCCAGGAATGACGCCCTCCTTTTCATCATACATAACCGCGATGAATCGATCCGTGGTGGGCTCAGGTCCGATCCTGATGCCAGGAAATTCTCTTTCTAGAAGATATTTGATAAACGTGGTTTTTCCCGTCGAGTATTGTCCAACCAAAAGTATCATGGGTTTTGCATCAAAATCCGGATCATCCAGCTGCGGCGAATGAAAGTCATGGAATTGGTAATATTGTTCCAGGGGCAACAATTTTGACTTGTATATCCTCTTGAGACCTTCCGTGACATTTTCAAAGAGGTCTTGCTTGCTGTTCTCATCACGGCTCAGCCAGCTAAACATATTGGCGACCTGCACATTAAACCAAATATGTATTAACAAAGAGAGCACTTTTTGAGAATTCATTACAACTTTACTATTATTAATTAAAATGCCGAATCTCATCAGAGGTCTATAAATTTTCTTCAGACCTCTTTCTTATCAGACTTTTAATAATCCCTGATAACTCTGTAAACTTCTATTGTAATTTAAAGTCGGTCATTCCAGACTGATAAAACAGCTCTGATCTACAAAGGTTAAGATGCAATCACGTCGTTAACGCTAATAAAAGTATTCCCCGTATTAAATCCGCACTTATGAGCTGTTTCACTTTTAACCTCCACGCTTTTAAACGCCGAAGTAAAAAGAAAGAAGATGTCACAGAAAACATAAAAAATCTTTCTTTCGCGTTAGAAACACAAAAAAAAACCTAAAATTCTATAACATTCTTCAAAAGCAAATTTTGTCGTGGCACCACCTTTTCTGATATCTCGCACTTTATCTCTCTTCTTTTCTTTTTTTTCCTTTACTATATTACATGTCCGATATCTTTAAAACTCAGTCTTTTGGAATTCGAGGCAAAGTACCATGACACGTGCAACGGAGAGCAAAGTGCGATAAGACGGAAAAAAAAAAAAAGCGTGAAAACGAGAAGCCGCGCGACCAACCTTCGCTCGGATCCGCCTCTCAAGGCTGCTGGACTTAAACGCGCTACGGTGACGCACAGAGCGCGACGAATGCGAGAACGAGCGCGTGAAGACTAACGGAAAAAGCTCGGACTCGGAAGGTAGCTTCGAAGACCGTCGAAGCGATGCACCGCTGACGTGAACGTATCTGTATCGACACACACCGCGGACAACGCGGACTTCCGGAGAAAAATGTGGTGGCGGTGGTGGAAAAGGAACGGGCACAACTCTCCCAATTTCAGTGGCGCGCTCAGCGGTGACGCAAAGCACCGACTGCGCGCCGAGCGAGGAGGACGACGAACGCGCAAACGAGCGCGAGCGATCGCGCGACGGAGCGAGGCGGAGTCGCGCGCTTGTAAACGATATACACGTTCTTTTGAGGACGCCGCCCCCCCTTCCTCTCGCCCTCGTACAAACGCGCCGGACAATTGGCAACGCGTGGCGCGTAAATGAACGGGATGTGAGCGAAGGAAAAAACAAAGAGAGAAACGGATTTATATACGTATTAGATATTTACTTTGAATTCACACATAATCGTATTTTATTTAAAAGAGTAAGTACGAAAGATAAAAAAAAAAAATGTTCAACAAGCGTTCTCTTTATATTCGCATCTCGTCGTTACAAATATCGTTTCTGATTAAAGACGAGCTTGTGAAAATTTATCTTTATTACACCGGGGACAAGCAAGATTGAAAGGTACAAGATTCACATGTCAAAGTACACATGTGCGAATATATAAATCAAATACTTAATGTAATATATCGTTCACATTCGGAATGATGAATGTGATTTAGACACACACCGTTTCTTCTTATATCGTGCGAACACAGGAAACGAACTGTTTCAGTTTTAGAGTAAAAGCAAAAGTATAAAAATAAAAATGTAAAAAAAACAATATATACCTACGTAGTAGACATTGAAATCAGAAATGATTTGATCTTTGGAGTTGCAAATTAGAAGATTGGTAATCTCGTTGTCCTAAAACGAGATTGCGATATCTCGCGCATGTCGAATTGGCCGTGAACGCGCTGATTGGCCCCGTGCGCGCAACTTCAAGTTCGCTGATGAGATGATCGACGATTCGTGATCACTTCGCGATTAAAATGTGCGTTAGCTTTATCGAAAAAAAAAACTTTGCTTCATCGAAAGCAAATAAACGATAAGAAATGAACATAACTCGAGGCGGGGGAAAAAAAACGTAAGTTCAAACATGAGATAATGCTATGTGATTCTGCATTATTTTTCTCTCTTGACATTTCTGTCATGTTTTTTATACGTTTGCTGTTGCACAAATTGACGCTCGTAAAATAAACCAAGATTGCGTACAAACACAAGTAGAAATTCTTTTGCGCAAGTAAAATTTCATGAGTTTTTCTGTTAATTTTGAATTTTGCCATGTATAAATTTTGATATCGTTAAATTTCTCGACAAACGCGTGATTTCGAACACTCGATGTTGCACGCTGTGCATTTTTCGCGACGAAAGTTGACGATTATTTTCCAATTATTTTCAAATTTTTGTCCAACTTGCAGTTATCAAATGGAACGAGTCGCGCGGGAAGTGACGGTTTAGCGGACTAGGAGAAGCTAAAAAAAAACACACGTGATGCGTTATTTCGACCGTGAATTTGTAAAGCGAGAAACGTACGAGAATGTGTTCAAGGTACGGGAAAAGTTGATCAAATTAATGTATATTTTATGAGATTCACGACTCATATTTCGATACGGAGTTGCATCAATACATATATCTGTCAAAAGAGCAGAATTAAGCAAAACGTTCCTTTCATGCTGAAATATACGTATCGTATGTTCACACGTACATCCATTCATAAAATGTGCTAACTGTGCGTTCTGTGATGCATACACGTATGTGTTATATTTGAAGGAAACTTCCTCAAATGGAAATAAAGATTTTTTTCTCTCCCTCCTTCTCTCATGCTTATCTTTGATTTATAATTGAAATATTTTTCTCATTGTATTACATAGTTATGCCGTTAAAAAAATATAAATAATCAGAAATTAAAAAATAATAATCAAAATTAGAATGACACGTTGTTCACCCAACATTTAATCTAAATAAACGTACATGTGATAAAAAAAAAACGGAATTTAATTACGTTTGTCAAAGGGATTTGCAAAAGTTTCAGATATAATTAACGAAAAATTGCGTGAAATGTGCATCGTGACTTATTTTTATTCACAGTCACACACAGTTGTTGAAGAGAGAATCACAGTTGTTAAAAAGAGAATCTACATAAATAACAAAGGGGATAAAAATAGATCCGTAGAATTAGAACATGGTAGGATGTCTTAGGTCAATGGGACTTCCGTTCATATGTGTGTGTGTATATATATACGAATATATAGTTATGTAACGTTGGAACGATAATGAATGAAACACGACATAATGCGTTACAACATATGACCATGCCAAGAGACAATCGATAACTGTGACCTTCTTCTCTTCGTGTGGCGATCGAATTGCGACCGTGAGAATTGTAAGAATACATAAAGCGAAGAATACATAAACAGATTTCTGAGTAAAACCGCAATATTTAGATTGTCAAGTGTGAGTCATGGGGAATTGACACAAGTACAAGTTAGACTTTCTTTCTGTGAATTATTTTTTCTATAGAACATCGAATAACATTGAATAACACATTTCTGTTCGAATTTGATTCAAAAGTAGTAAAATTAGTCGGGCAATAAAATGTAATTTTTTTTTTTGTTTTTAATATCTTGTTTATAATTAGTACTATTTTGTATAGTCTACCTGAGAAAGATTTCGTATTCCTGACTGTGAAATATTATCACATTGAGCGCAAATTCAATATATTGTACAAAAATATTCGTAGATTGTTAACAGTTTTATTTTCAATTTATTTTGTAAAGTCAAAAATGTTTTTTTTTTCAACCTTTGCATCAAATGTGTCTTAATTAAAATCGCAATGACAAAACTCTTGTTAAATTGATCAGAAAGCGAAATACGCACACATCGAGCGGACATATGTTGCGTATATGTTATCTACTACCGCATTGAAGACAACAGTTTAATTGCTAATTGCGCACGCACTATTTGGTGCAACAGACAATAGTTCACGCAATAATCGTAACGTGGTATTACGCAATGATATGCAAAACGTTCAGTGTCAGCTGGTTGCATAAGCAAACCAGGCACATCCCGGTTTAAACGATTTCGTATCCGTTTATTCATCTTAACTAGCTATATGCTTGAATTACAACTAGTTTGCTAGGATACCGGAGCTGTGACTACAGAGATATTATGCACTTGATCATTTGCAGTGCAAGAAACACCACGAATATCTTTAAGAATTTTCGGTTCTCTGAAACAGATGTGTTTCGAAAATATTAAAAAGAGTTTAAAAACTAACACTTATCAATAGTTTTTATATTCGAGTCTGTTTCTCTTTTTCTGAGATAAAAACACAACTCAGGCGTTCATTTTATTTTATTTTTTTTATAATTTGCTTTTTTTTACATTTGTAGTTTTTAAGCTATTACTTATAATTTATTCTTTATTTGTAATAACAGATATATACGTGACTTTTCTGTCGTGAAAAGAGGAAAAACAACTTGATTTGTATAACATATCTAAAATATTCTGAAAAGGAAAAAAATATATTGCTTCAAAGATATTATTACTAAAAAAATTTTAATTTCTCCAAGAAATATAGTTTCTCGGATCTCTAGAAAATATTTTTCAACAACAGGTATTGCCATATCTGACAGTAATATAAACATGACGAACGGTGAAGATATTCTTATCTGTTATCGAATCTTGCATGATTCATATTCTGTTTTTTATTGATAATTCTTTTAACGATAATTGCTCGATCCTCGATAACGTATCAGAGGCGCCTTCTATGTTAAAGTCGTTGTACTACGTATTCGTATCGACACATAATCCTTTTCAACCATTTCCGCAAATATACAGGGTGTCTCATGAAGACCGTATCACCGCTCGTAAGCAGATAGAAGGGATTGTTCTGAGTCGAAAAGTCCAGAACCATTTTTTTTCTATTACATATAATAATGCGCGTGGTTCGCTGACGTACGTTCGGCTAAAGGTCGGCGCTGATTGGCTTGATTTATTCAATAATTACTCCTTTATTATATGTAACGGAAAAAAATGGTTCAGGACTTTTTGACTCAGAATAATCCCTTCTACCTGCCTACGAGCGGTGATACAGTCTTCATGAGACACCCTGTATATATTTTTTACATATGTGTGTAAGAAACATATATGTATGTTAAACGTATGTATATATTAAATATATATGTATGTTAACATATGTATACATTAAATATATGTTTATTATATTTATTACATATATTTTTAACACATATGTACTAAACAATTATATATTTTGCTCTTACAGTGTCTTACGGTGCTATTTATCGATAAATCCTTCAACATGTGCTTTTACGTGAAAATGGAAAACGCAGTACTCAACATAAACAACGAGCTTCTATACTGCACTTTGGTGAGTAAACACTTCACATGTTTCTTTTTCTATTGTTCAAATATTTTCTGCGCATCTATGCGATATAGAGATATCTATTTCGTATTTTTATTGGATATCACTCGATAAAGATTTAAGTGCATAATTTTAGTCAACCGCTTATTGCAATAAAAATGGCACATGTTACAAAATTAATTCGTATGTTTTATTCAATAACGGTTCAATATATATCTACATTAAGATTATGATCTCAAAGTTAGATATACATTTACATTTAATATCACTCTTATGTTTATCAAACTTATAAAGTTTATTGACGTGTTTCGTGTTTTTCATCTATCATTTGTAACAAGTCGTAACATTACGTAAGCATAACGTTGACTTCCGCGTAAAAAAAAACAAACATTAATGCACTCAACAGACACATGACGTGAGTTTATATTTTACACTCCGCGTCCCAGTCGTCCGGAATCACTTCGTGCAACGTTTCCTTCAGATTTTGCAACAAACAAGGACTCACGCAGTTAGGTATTGTCAAAGGATGCGCGATTTTCGTTTCCGAACTGTTCAAATATAATGCCTGTAGCAACAGAATAGAAGACATGTGTAAAGAATATATACATACATATATTTTTACATATGTATTAATTATAAAAATTACAAGAAGATAGAATAATGATACGCGAACAAAAACTACCTTTACTTCCGGATCATCTCTATTATTGGCACGATGCACCTCGAGTATGAACATAGCTCCGTAATCAGGTAGAAAAAGATCACTGGTAAATCCCATCGTTCTCATCGTGTTGATGATGGTAATATCGTGAGCAGAGTAAAGGTAAAATCGTTTCGGTTTCGAATTAGTTACAGTTTCTTCCATGTGATTTAAAATCTCCTTCACTAACGGACCTGTGAATATCGAAATGTTTTCGCAATCATATAACGCGATATATATTTTTAAACATTTATTCGCAACGCCAGTTTTCGTTGTGCGAAAAATTTAGTTGTTTTACCTCCCTGAAGACGTTTTTGGACAGTACTGTCGGTGAAAATTGCCAAGCTGCGAGCGGCTATTTCGCGCATTTTATTATTGTAAAATTTTCGCGTCCACTCCGGCAACTGTAAACCGTTTTGTTCCTCAACCTCCAGAATGTTGTACAGAAACTCAACGTCGGTGATTGTTGTCATATTCTGTCCGGTGTGTTCTGTTAGTTCTCTGTAATACTCGGTCATTTTATCACCTGATCTTTCCGCTTCTCTCAAATACGCTTCTTTCAGAGCTTTTTCAAGTCGCGGGCACGGTGCCTTTACTGTTATCAACTGTAAGTTAATGTTTTAAAAAAGATAAGTTTTATTATAAAAGTTTATTTTATCATAAATTTTATCATAGACCTACTATTAGTAAACAAATTTGTAACTTTTTTTTATTTATACATTTATTGCCATAGAGAATAGTGAAAAAAATGACAAGTCAAAAAAGAAGAAACTTAAAAAGAAGCTTTCAAAGAAATTCTATGTATACAGTACGTTATATTCTCTCTCTGGAGATCATATACCTTGTCCAAGGTTCGCGGTATCGAGTGCACGGGGATAGGCGTCCACGCCAATCCTGGCAGAAACATGTCTTCGGGACTCGGTGGAAATAATCCTGCGAATAACGTTTGTCCTGACATGATGCAACGATCTGTGTAGCTGCTACGCATCAGCGTGGTTGCGCTTTCGAATTTATTGCCAACTAAAGCGCCGTATTCCTGGCGGACCCATTGACCCACGTTATACAACTGACGCATCCCTTTCTAAAAATAAATTTCGAGACGATATTTTATTAGTTTTTGCTCGAATGCATATTATAACTGATATCCGAGCATATTTACGTGAAAATACCATTTTATTTACCACGTGTTCAGATATTTCAGCATGAAGAAATAATATTCGTGTAGTTTATATACCTTGGTTAAAGCGCCCAAACCACCAGGCCACGTGTAGTTTATATAAGGATCCTTGGGGTAAGTCATTCTAGGGTTTCGGTCGCCATGACGAAATAACTGTCAAAATATAATCACAGGTTTTGTTACGAAAAAAAATATTATCTCGTAAAAATATTATTCTGATAATACTTATTCTTCAATTGTGTGTAAAAACATACACTCTTATTTTCGTTACGTGGTATTTATACATGTGTGTTCAATTAATTATATAATGTTGTTTGACTTTCTAGTAACTAACAAATTATAATAAAAATAAGACTATCGCGAAATAAAGAAGTAATTTTTATTGCACAAATTTATTTTCAAAACATAATTTTAAAAGATCAAACTAAAATTTTACTGAAACTTGAAAATTATATGCCACATTAAATTGTGTGAAAAATGAACTCATTGAAATATGTTTCGCTAAAAAATTGTTATCATAAAAAATTTTATTAATATAAAAATGAAGCGCGGTGTGCGAGAATAATTGTTTTACAAAGGAATTACTTACAAAAACCACCTGCTGCAACGTACTGTGATTAGTAGTCGATGACGCAAACGCAGTGTACGCTAACAGCGTGCAACCGATGAAAACTGCGAGTACAGCCACACTCACGCAAACCCCAAGCTTTCTAGAACGATAGTTACCCATTGAACGTCTTCTTCTCCAATCCATTCGGACCAATTACGCGTTTCCCGCGGCGATTCACTATATCTTCTTCAATCGCAAACTAGATCATAAACTTGCGCTTGTTATCGGCTAATGCAATGAAAAAGAGAAAATCTTGATGAAGTATGTATGTTCCTTAAATTAAATATGTAAATTGAGTTTAAAATATTGTGGAGTTGGATTCTGCGCGAAATCAAAAAATATAGTTTTCTTTGATAAAACACGAAGTTTTCGATGCAGTAATAATAAAAATTTAAATGATAAGAAAGAATATAAATAAAAATTATTTAAAATATAATAAATATAATAAATATATAAAGTTATATTATATATATATATATATATAGAATATAATAAATATAAAAATAGGTTTTCGTAAATATTATAGAGATATAGAAATTAAAAATAGAAAGAGAGAGAGTGTGTGTGTGTCTTACACGGAAAAAAAAAGTTTTTACCACAGCTAATTACGGTTTGCTGAAACTGAATTTGCTGCTGTAGCTATAAAATTTTCTATTACATAGAAACAGTTTACTGATATTTCTGAATATGTTGACATGATAGCAAAATATGTATGTCTTGTAGCACTAAGAGTTTAGGTGTCCATAATACTACCAAAATTTAAGAACCAAATTTTTAGCTGTGAGAACTAACTTTTTTTTTCCGTGTAATAAATAGTCTAAATTATCAAGTTTGCGCCTTTATATCAGGACTACTTTATCCGAGATTATTTTCCAATACTGTAAAAAAATACTCTAACAAAAAACTTAATTTTAGTTCGATGTAGAAAAAATACTAAAACTAAATTTTCTATTTTCTTAAAAAGTGTTATCTTAACCACGCGCGTTTTTTACAAATTTAAATATATATAGAGTGCTTCGGGAATAAACGGCCAAACTTTGGCATCGTATTCTATTCTCCCTAAGGATGAAAAAGGTTATATAAGTATAGATTCGGAAATCCTTAACTAAGGAATGTATAAACGGTCATGTGAGCCGTTCGCTGGATGTTGTGCAGAAATATGCGTGTATATATATATATACACGTGTAAATCTTACACGTGAATTTTTGAATTGAGATTTCAATTCTTAAATTCAAAAACTCACGTGTAAGATTTACACGTGAGTTTATATATTTC